AAATGACACAAAGCTGCTAATCAAGACACTGTACATATGGTGAGTGGAAGTAGAACTCTAGGTGCCACACACACACACACACACACACACCCCTAAACCACACTTCATACACACACAGATTTCATGAGCAGGCATCACCATCCAGGAAGAAGACAAGGACAAATTCCTTTAATTCTCAAATCTTCAGCATGCATATTATCCCTTGTTTCGGATTGGTCAGACTTGGGACATCCATGAGATTAAGTAAGGAGAAGTTACATAGGCAGGTAGTTCTGTGGGAGAGTCTTGGGTTGAAGAGATCTGAGTCGGTAAGAGAAATTGGGAGTCAACAGCAGAAAGAGGCATTTCAGTACCTGGGCACTGATGAGATGAGCCTGGGAGAGGGTGTAGACAGAGGAAAACAGGACATGAGACCAAAAACTTGAGCTGCCCCAGTGTTTAAATGTGGGTGGAGCAGACTAAGTAGATGTGGGCAGGGAGGGAGGAAGGAAACCAGGAGAGAGGCTGAACCAGAAACCAACCTAGGGTCCACAAAGAGGAAGGGGTCAGGTTGAAAGGATTAGGACAAAAACATGGCAGTCACCGGGGGTCTTGACAAGGCCCATTTCAGTAGTTCCAGGAAGGTAGGAACCTCAATAGTGGGTAGAGAAGTCATTCTAGAAATTTGGGTGGGAGGCGGAACAGAGAGGTGGGGCTGTACCTGGGGGATATTAGAGAAGTGGAGTTTTTCATGTTTATTTTTTATGCAGACGGGAATGATTCAGAAGAGAAGGGGAGGCATCAAAGCAGCAGAAAGGAGAAAGAGGGGCAATGCCAACCAAGGACTAACGTCTTTGGGAAGATGGGGAGGTCATCCCATAGGCGAGGGGAACTGGCATTTGGTAAGATGAGAGATATCTAACATTTTACATGTGAAGGAAGGGAGTTAAAGTTTATTCAATTTAGCTGTGAGAGAGGGTTTCTGGCTTCTTTCCCTCCAGGTGGTTTGTGTTTATAGGCGGGCCTGGGAGAAGTCTCCTTTAACAGCAAGATTCCTGGCAGCGGTATGAAGCCTGCCTGAGCTAATCAGAATTTCAAAAGGTTTATTTAGATGCACTTTATACTATCAAAAGGACATGGTGAAATGTGGGCTGTTTACCACTATCTAGGTCGCACTTATTAAAATACAGAAATCTGAGTTCTCTTTAATCCTTAAGATGAAAACAAATATTTCCAGACAGCAGCAAAAGTACAAAGGAACATTCCATCAGCACGGCCTCAAAAATTGTAGAGTTAAAAAAAAAAAAATAGAGCACGTGTTGCAGTCAAATAGTCTAGGAAGCCAACGTGACACCACTCTACTCTGTTTTTGTCTAACTTTGTGAAATAATGATCTAGTCTTACCCATACTCACTAACAGAAGAACAACGAATCACCCTCAGGAGTGAGTGTGATGGGTGTTGTATTCCTTGGACATAGCAGAGATCTCTGGAAATGCACAACTGGTGGTGAAATTCGTCTTCCAGAGAGGAAGTTATTTGGATTTTTTTAAAACCTTGTATTTCTTCTCAAAAAGCGAACAAGAGATATCCAAGGAAACAGAAAAGTATGCAGAGGAAGACATCGTTTTAGCTGATTCTTGAGTGCCCCCAGTAAAGTAGGTGCAAATATGTATTGCACAAATGAAGGAACGGAGAAGCTTCCATGGGCTTAAGGAAACCAGGGAAGTGCTTGGGATCTTGCTTCATGAGTAGTGCTCCCTTCAGAATACAACCTGTAGCTTCCTTTTCCTTCCTATAATTTCCTTCAGCATTTAAGCATTTGATCTTTGTCATAATTTCACAGGCTTTCTTTCCAGAGCTCTCTAGACATTTCCTATCTCTGAACACTGGCTACCACTCTTTGCCTCTCCTCCTCACATGGGAATTCTTATTCTTATTGCCCCCAACAGCAATGATCACTTTCTAGAACACATTAATTAACACTAGTTTTTAAATTGAACAACAACAACAACAACAAAAAATGTGCCTACTCTGGGTTAGGTAAGCATTGACATGCTGCCTAGGGTGCAACCACAAGCTCTGGTTTTCTTTACTCTGTGGTTTCCATGCCCTCCCAGATTCAAGTGAGATAGAGGGCCCAGAGGAAGTCATAGGGTCCACTCTGCTTCCCTTGACCACCTTGCTCAAGACATCTTGCAGCACCTGGGAGATCACACCACCACTCACATTTTCAGTGAAGTTTCCAGGGCTTTGTGAAGGGTGGGGATGAGTGGAGAAGTCTGGGGGGGGGGCAGGGGGATGGGTGCTCAGTTGAATACCAGAAGGAATGGGGAACCTGCCAGCAAGCCCTAGAGGGTGACTCAGTGGGAAACAACTTTATAGAGAAGACTGATGAGTAGGGATGTAGCCAAGAGAGGCGTGAAGAGAAGACGCCTTTGACACATTATAAAGTTAATGTGGCATGGCAGTTTAGTCAGCATTTCTCCTGGTTCATACTGAGATCTCTCCTGGCCCAGCTTCTGCTTACACTCCAGCTCTGAGCCCTATGGGACCCTTGCTCAGAAAGGAGCTCCTCCATGCCTGGCTTCCAGTGATCTACTCAGCCATAGCTGAAAAAACAAAGGAGATCAGTTGCCTTTGGAGCAACTGATATCTTGAGGGTTCGTGGTGACCACAAAAACAAAGAGTTGTGTTTGTGGTTTGGAATGTCATTCCCATGGTGAGGATGTGTGTAATCCTGCGTATGCAGAAGTTTGCTTGTGGTTGAATGTGGGACAGATTACAAACTCGGGCATGTGTTTCCAAGACACACTGATACCCTTTCCTTTGGGGATTATTATTAGACCTAAGATGTCACAGGAGGAAAACCCCAACCATGCTGATGGCCTCAGACCATTCCCCATTAGCCAGGAGCACCAGCACTAGACATCTTGCCTGTCTGCAAGAGAGGCCTCCTGCCTGTGAGCTCTGGTATCACCCGAGTACAACAGCTCCAAGTTGCCAGTGTCAACTCCATGCAAGATATGACCTCTCTGCTTAGCCCTCTGTGCCAGCTAGACAGTCTGATCCAGAAAGAGTTGTGTGGGTCCCAGTCTTACTCATGAAACTTGTCTTAATACTATTTTTTAAAAAGCCCTAATTGCCAAGAAAACTACTATGTTATTATCTGTTTGTATGGGGGAAGAGGATAGTGTGGGTGGGAAACAGCTTTCTTAATGTTTACCTTTTCATATCTTTTTTAATTTTGGAACCATATGATCATATTATGGATTTTTTTTTTTAAATAATAAGAAAAAAAACCTTCATTGTCTCAGGAAGTTTCTTCTAGCCAAGAATTTCCAAACGGCGTTTCTTGAAGTTGCCTAGAGAAGAGAATTCCTACCCATAGATCTTTATCAGGCATGTGCTACATGCCCTTGGCCTTTGATTCAAGGTGACTGCCTCTCAAAGGTCAGGAACTCCTCAAGCAATGAATATGGGATAATGTCATCCCTGGTTCTATAATCTCATGGCCTCTGAGAAAAGTGTGAAATGAGATAAGATGATTCCTTGCAACCCTAACCCCAAAGAGGGACCCCAGAGAGGTAGAAGGGTCTTTTGGAGACTGAGGGGAGGAGTAATCAGCAAAAATCCCCACCATGTCTGACACAGACACCCCCCACTCTCAGGTGGAGACCACCGGCTGTGGTTTATTTACCACCACAAACATGAGGGGCTATGGTGGAGTCTGAAGGAAAGCTGTGTATCTCCATATGCATTTTTTTAATGATTAATTTCCTTCTAGAACATTAAAGTAGTTGAAAAAATATCAAAAGATTGAAAAGTGGGTGTATTAAAACTCACAGCATTATTTTAAGTTTAAATATCTGACTTCTGCCCAAGTAGAATTTACTGCCACTTTAGTTCTGCTTAAATTTTTAAAAAATTACTTAGGATTGTCCCTTAGTCCAGAGGAATTGTCAGACAGGGGAATTATCTCAATTAAAAATGAGATAAGCAAAGAAGCATATTTGGAAAATCCCCATACAGAGTTTTCTTCTGCTAATGCCAGGGGCACACATTTTTCCTTTTGTCTCAGGCTCTAATATGGTTCAAATTGGCACTGACATTTCATTTAAAATTTGGTTATTTTGTTCATCATGGATGTTTCGTGGCATTTTGAGAGCATAATTCTGATTTTTAAGAAATACAACATTAAAATAATATTTTTCTTGATTACTGAGTTTATGTTCCCTTAAATTTTGCACTCAAGGTGAGTATCTCGCCATAGTTCTGGCCCAATTAACCTAAGCGATCCAAAGGTGACCTTTGCCCTACGGATTGCTTCCTGCATCACTGTTGTCAGATTTGCGTCTTCATTCAAATCCTACCCAACTTGACAGTCCTCTCAATGCCACGACTGAGGAGCCGTTTTCTCTCAGAGAACTTGTTTCTTCATTGTTCTCATTGTTCAAAGCCCTAAGCCCTGGAACCAACTCCAGTAATTCTCTATTTTCCATGCGTAAAGCTACTCAGAGAATCACCAGTCATTGCCCTTGAGCCTTTGGCTAGATGGAGTCTACAAATGTAATTCTCTTAATCTCTTGCAAGGCCCTTAATCACTCAAAACACACTCTGCCTGATCCAGTGTCCTGATGAAGCAGGGTGACAGGAAGGAAGAGTGACCCAATGATGCATGAACAACTGACACCAGCTCCTTCCAACGGTCCCCATTCCTCCTCTGGATGCCACTGTGCGAGAAGGGGCAGTCTGGTCACTCCTTTTCATTTCCCCAGCGGACACCCTTCCCCCTTCCAGATGTCTACCAGCTGGAAAAGAGGGGCGGACAGTTGTTCCTTTGTAGAGAGCTGCAGTATGAATATAATTTTCCACATGCTGACTCATGAGACTGTCAGTGCCCCGGGAGCCAGTACACGGTTCCACTCTTTTGCCAACTTCAGGGGTACAGTGGGGAACTGACTTTGATCTAATAACCCAAGTTACTCTTTGCCTCCGTTTTCCCACAAAAAGAACACTTACTCCCTTCTACAGGCAGAAGACAGACTCAGTGACCTCTCTCAGTCTCCTCCAACCTCAGAATTCCACTGGGCTATTATTAGAATCATCTGGACAGAGCTGCAGTGTGACACGAGGTGTCTGGGTGCGCAGAACCAAATGAAAATGTTTATGGGTGCTCCCGCACACCAAACCGCCTCTGATTGTCTTTCTGGTGTCACTCAACTTTACGAGGGCTATTTCTGTGAGCATTTTGTTCCGGTAAATGCTTCTGCTGCTTCTCCTCAGTCTATTCATTTCTTTCACCTTTCTCTCAAGTTTCCCCTCTTCACTAGGTTCCACTTACGAGGGAAGCCTCATTCCCACGGGTACTTAGCACCATGCCCGGCATGTGGAGTACAGGAGGAGGTGAGAACATGGGCTTTGCCATCAGACAGCCCTATTTGGATCTCAGCCCTGTTATATGTTAGCTAGATGGGGAATTGGGCAGATTACCTAACTGGTCTTTGGGCCCCAGGTTCCTCGGAAGAGGATGGGATGATAATACGTGACTCACAGAATATTGCAAGGATTCTAGCCGATGGAAGGCAGAACACAGTGCTCAGCATTGAGCGAAGACAAAAATATTAGCTGTTGAATACATAAATGAGCCTTTGCGTGATAAAAAATAGCTACACCAAAAATGTGCAAGTGTGTTCCTGTTGCACAAATTCAAGAATACAGAAGTACACAGAGGAAAAAATGAAAGAGCTCTTTCAGTGACTGTCCCTCCCCCCTCCCTCCCTTCCTGTGTGTTAATAATAGTTCTTTCTTTCTTTGTCTCTCTTCTTTGGGGGAAGAAGGAGTTAATTATCTGATATATGAATTTGTTCTTACTGTAAAGATACAAATGTTCAGAAGCATACCGCCTCCCCAGATTTGAAGAAGACCGCCTTCATCACATCCTTTCCTCTCTTACTTCTGCCTCTGGAGGTGACTACTCTTGCTAGAGATTTTTCTTATCTCTATTCTATCATTTATATATAGGTAACACACACACACATACACATATACATTTAGGCTTCTTAAAAAATATATATATCTTTCAAATATTTTTATAACGCAGAATTCAACTATATTTGCTATCCTGAAACTGTTTTTTCTTATGTAGTCATGTTTTCAACATCTTTCCATTTCAGTACGCATAGATCCATTAAATTCTTTTTAATGGCAGTATAATATTCTGTAATGACATATGTACTCCAGCATACTTATTTCCTATTGGTAGCTATTTAGGTCATTTAAAAAATTTCACTGTCATATAAGTAAATACTTTTAACCTTTGCAGGCTAAATACCAAGTAACATGTTTGCTGTCATCCACATTGGCAGCTGTCCCCAGTGTGGCCCGGAGGTAGTCAGCCCCTCTACTGTCAGAGAAGCACTGTCCTGGGTCTGAGCAAGAACCCCTATAAGACCCAAGGTCATTCAGATCCTCGCACCACCGCACCTAGAGCCATGCTGGTGGCTGTCGCCAAGGTCCAGTTCCTTGGGGACCACATGGGAGGGCTGGAGTCCAGACAATCTATGTGTCCCACAGTCAGAAAATAGGAAAGCACAAGATGCCTTAAGGAGGTTGCCAGCAACTGGGTTTGCTTCTTTGAAAGACTGGCCCAGGAATGAAGTGATAGACGATTTGTATTTCTTGGGTATTTGAAGATTTTAAATGTGAGCAAATGTAGATTTTAAGTGAGTCATTACCCAGGAGCATCCACTACAAAACCCAGAAAGGAACATCATTCGAGTGCAGTGCTGACATGACAGCAGATGGTAGAGCTGTGTGATCAGTGTGTCCGCACGTTGCAGGTCTCCCAGAAAGATCTGGTGAATGAATGAGGCTGGAGATAGAGGGAGGGTGAGGCTGTGAGAAAGCTTGAGTAGAATAAGGATCTGGTCTGACCAAGAGGGCATTATGGGCACTAACATCTGAGGTGTCCCCCCTCACTGTAGTTCCCATCCCTGAGAGCCTGGGATCAGGGTCTGACAGGCACAGAAGTTGTACTTGGGAGGGGTGTAGGCATTCTCCACATGCAGGAGATGGCAGGAGCTACTGGACATGGGAGAGGTAGCCCAGGCTACTGCTGTTCTCCAGAAATGTCAAGGACCGTACACATTTTGAGAAAACCGTAAAGATGCACCTAGAAAGTTCCAGAGTACAAGCAGGAAGATGGCACTCTTGAAAGGACTTAACTGATGAGCCTTTAGTAAAGGGATTGTTGATGGAGGTGGGCAAGGTTAAAAGAACCGCAAAAGGTAATGAGGTACCCAGGTACTAGCCACTGTGGGGAGCCATTATCTCCCCTAGCCCTAAAGGAAGCAAGGGGAAGAAATGCTCTTACTGGAGCCCGCCTGCCACAGAGGACCCCAGCCACGGCCAGGACCTCAGTCAATCAGGATGAGAAAGGGAGGATAAATACCTAGACCTCCCTCTCTTCCCATCCCTGGATCCTTTGCAGACTGCAGTGAATCCCACTGGCCAAACCCACCTGGAAGGAGAGAAGGGCACAAAGGGTAGGGGATGGATCTGGGCAGGGGGCTACAATGAAGCAAACAGAAGAAGTTCAACATGTCAGGTCAGCTTGGTATTTTGAAGGAGTAGCCTGAGCTCACGTGGGATCTGGCTCAACCATCCTAAGTGAGTCCCCAGAGCCCCGGCTACATGGCCAGCTCCCTGATGCCCACTGCTTTGCATGGACTGATCTTGGCAAAAGAGCCAGACAAATCTCCAAGATACAGGTGCTAAAACTATCTCCAGTGGTGGTAGACCACTTCCAATTCTGTCTAGAAAAGTGAAAAAGTGCAGGTTACCTAAGGAAGCCTGGAATCATGTCCCCAGCACTTTCCTGCAAGGGATAAGGATGGTTTTGCAAAGTACAAAGTACAAAGGAACATAGCTGTAAAGAAATCGAAACCTCTGAATACAAGAGATGGATGGATATCCCCTTTGAGATAGGGGCCCACATTATTCTGACCACTGCAGAGGACAGAGAGGGGTTCTGAGGGCATTAGGGATAGGAGACCTTGCTTCTCCCCAGGATGAAAGGCTTGTCAAAAAAAAAAAAAAGATGAAGCATACTGCCAACTCCAGGAAGACATTTTCTCAGGACAGGGGTGGGTAAACTTTTATGCATACCCTGTAAAAGAGAATGGAATGACTGAAGATACTAAGCATTTGTTATCAGCGAGCACACCAGCAGTTCTCAAGCTCATGTGCTATGATGTCCATTCTTCATTGCTTTGCCACCGAATTTTGATCAATACGTACAATTGGTTTTTGCTAAAATGTAGAATGTGTATTCCTGGAGTCCTATCTGGCAGATAAAATGTTTTGTCACAGAAATTTTCCAATGTCATGTTGAGTACAATTCATCGCAAGTAAGAGGAACAAGGCATGACATAACAACCATCTAACACCAAATGAAATTTGTGGATTTACTAAAACGTGGAGAACAACACGGGCCAGAATAACATGGTGGTTAAATGTTCAGGCTCAGGAGCCAGACTCCCTGGGTTCAAATCCTGGCTCTTAATAATTATGAGATTATAAGTGAATTTCCTCATAGATAAAATGGGGGTAATACTACTTATTCCTATAGATCATTAGGAAGATTGAAATATTTATAACACACTTAGAACATCACTGGCACATAAATATTTAGCATTACCTACTAAATTATGCTATCCTTCATTCACCGTTCACTCACATATATATTGAGTATCTACTATATTCAGGCATTATGCTAAGCTCTGGGGATAAGTTGTAAGAAAAAAAAAAGACACCACTTACCCTCATGGACTAGAGAAAGAAAGACGAATCAATAATCACACAAGCAGATATGAAATCAAAGCTGAGATGAGCAGTGGTACTTGGAGCCAGGACAGCTGGTAATGACTCATTGGGGGTAGGCCTTTCTGAGGACATTTACATGCTCTCTGATGTGTTCATGAGGTAAAGTTTTATAGGTAAAGAAGGGAAGACAAAGACCAGATATATATTTCTTATTATGGATCACTATCACAGGCAGGTAGGGCCAGGAGCAGAGACATCTTGAAAGTGTTGTAGATTCTGGGGGATAAGGTGACAGACAGCCTGGACAAAGACTCTGGTGGAAATGGGAGTAAAAGGGAGAATAAATGGGAGACGCCATTTTCCCTTCTTGGAAATACCTCTGAAAGGAGAAGGCCTCTGTACCCTACGGCCTGGCATGGGCTACATCCCTAGAGATGTAACTCAGACCGGAGCAAACTCACCAACAACATCTCAGCAGGATCCTCTTCAGAAGAGGAGCACACGTTCTTCCTTGGATGAAGAACGTTTCACGGGGGCAAGTATGCTCTTTATGGTGCTGTGGGCAGGAGATCTGAGGGTACAGGCCAGACTGCTGGGCCCATGTTGGACCGACCCTCCTCCCGCCCTAGTGGCCATGAGGAAAATGCCTGCATCCACGTGTGGCTGACTGAGCGTGTTCTTCTGGCGCCCAGCCCAACCTACACAGAGCATGGCATGGCTGATAGGAGAGGGCTTTGGAGTTAGAGATAAACAGGCCTAGAATTAATAAGAGAATTGATACTGGGAGCTGGGGCGCTGAGTATGACAGCTATACTCCACCTATCACCAGAAGAAGACTCACTCTAAGAGAGGGAGACATGTGGATGGTGCACGTAACTCTGTGCCAACCAGTCAAGGCACAGTGTCTGGCATTTAATAGATGCCACTTACTGCTATCCTTTCCTCCTATGCATATCTGAATTATCTTGCTTCATCTAAGATCTTGGGTAAATGCTTTTGGTGCTAACTTTTGGGGTGGGGGGAGCACTTCTTACCTAGCCCCTGAGGCTCACAGTCATCCTGGGGTCTCCTTGCCTCAGAAAAAAGTCAATCAGAGGCCCCCTAACACCATCATTCTCTCACACACAGCCTGGCCCACACCCAGAGTAACCATTTCATTTTTCCTCTCCTCTCCCCAAGGCTCTCAGTGTTGGGGGATCTGGGAGAACCAGTCAAATAGGAGCTACCAGCTCAAGGGGACACTGCTGATTCCTGGAGGAGACTCCTGCCAGGGATCCCCTACCTCTTTGCAAGGAGCCACCCCTGGAAAACC